CATAGTATAGGCGTCCATCAAAGTGTTGCAAATTTGCACCTGTGTTTGAAACATAATGGTAGTTTTGTTATGTATGTTCACACTGAGTCCTCAGGTCACCTGGCTGCCCTGACATTCCCTCGCTCTTTATGACTCACATTTAATGATTATGACTAATATATTCTGCTTATTACTACAGTTTGTATCAGTTCCTTTTTCAAGCCACACCAGTGTTTTTTTTTTGTTTTTTTTTTTCACCTGAGTCTGTCGGACTCTGGTGAATCAGGTCAGGGTGAAATTCGATGAGATCAAATCCTTAACATGTTGTTTCCTTGGTAAATAGTCATGTACAGTAAATACACCAGAGGTGGACACTAACAAAGAACATACTAGTATATATTTTTTGTAGTCTCTGTACTTTACTTGAGTATTATTTATTTTAGAAACTTCTGATTGTTAGTACTCTTACTGTGAAGCAGAGCTTTTAGACAGTGAATTTTCTTTTGTTTTAAAAAATGTGATAGACCACACACTCTGTTCATGACAGGAGAAAAACCAGTCACAGTCAACTCCTCCACTGTCAGTCATGTTTGAACCTGTCAGTGTGCTAACAGTGGCGAGGTCAGATAAAGATGAGAAAATTCTTCACCAGAGACCGTGGTCTGATCTGAGGTCTGTGTTTGAAGGTTTAGAAATAAAGAAAGATTCCTTTAGTTGTAAATGTTTGCTGTGTTTACCACGACCAAACTCCATCACTGTCTAAAAAAATATGTAAACTACAGTATCTCCTTTTGTTGATTCACTTGTGTTTTTATGTCCATGTCTACAGTCTTTGTATCATATCCTACAGTCTTTTTATTCAACAGGTTCTACAGTCAGTCAGCAGGTCCTGTAAATGTGAAACAATACAACAATGTGTCAACATAAAAAAAAATACTTTTAAATACTTCAGTATTTTTAAAATTGTGTCATCCAGTACTTTAACTCAAGTAAAAATCTGACTGAACGACTTTCACTTGTATTGGAATCATATTTGACCAGGAGGATCTGTACTGTGACTCCAGTATCGTCAGCATCCGTCATGGACAGACAGAAGGCAGAACAGGTAAAAAAAAAGGCGGTCTTGGTGATGTCTTAAATTAGTCCATGATGTCAACACAAACGGCTGTGGTAAGTGGAAGCACTGGTTGACCTCAAGTTTCACTCAAGTGGAAATCCATTATTCTGCGTTGTGTATCAGTTTATTTCCTTTTCTTTCAATATAAGACAGGTAAATATATCACCGGGTTTAGGGCTCTCCAGTGAGTCTATTATTTAAAAATAACACTGACTTTAAGTAAAAAAAAACTTGTTTGTTTCTCTTAAACAACAAATTTTAAGGAAGTGAAAGAAGTGACAGAAGCATTTCTGCATTTCATGAACAGGGGGGAGAAATCTAGCTCTAAAAATTAGCATATGGTACTCTGCCAAGTGTGAAAAAAACCCTTACACTGAAACTAAAGTCAGATCTAATAAAATCGTTAGACCGATAACATGTCCAAGTACTATTTAATTTTCAAAAGAATTCCCACACACTGGATGGGAATCCATAAAGCGACTCAGACGAGGATCAGGTTCAAGGTTTAATCCGTCCACAAATCGGTACACAGGTAGCCTTCTTGCAAGTGTGTTTTATTGTGTGGGTTCATTTACTTCAACTGGCTGTAAAATAAGCAACTCTGAGTGTTATAGACAGTTTTGATTTGATTTAAATCAGTTTATATGCAGAGGTGTTATATTCATGATTTGTCCCCAAAGTTTTTGTGATTATTTCCTTGTTTCGTTTATAACTCCGTACACTAGGCAACCTTAAGTTGCAGTCTAGCGCCACATGGTTTATTTCCTTGGCTTCTTCATTTAATGTTTGACTGGATTTATATTAATTTTACCTCATCAGTCCTTTAGTGAGGCCTACACTGAGGCCTGCTCTAGTGAAACTCCCTTGCTGCTTGTTGAATGTAGACAAGCCTTTTATTTCATATAAATGAAGGATAGCGTATGTTCGATCAGGAAGACTCGCTCTATTCTGCTTCCATTCACAATTCTCTCACTTTCCCCCTCACCTGCTCCTCGTAATCAGCTCACTTAAGGTGTTGGGTAACCAATCAGATTTAGCCACAATCTCAACCAACCAATCACGTTGTCCCTGTCATACTGTTCTCCTCTCCGGCTTTAAGCTGTCATTTCAGAGTGTTTCGCTGCGACCTTACTCTACCCCTTTCACCTCCGGTCTTCATATCCAGTGCAGGCCGAGCTCATGATCACTCCTCATCACACCCAGATCTCCAGCTTCTCCTCTTCCTATCTACAGGACCACCACATGTGTCTAGACCTGGGGGGTTTTCCCATCTCTCACTTTTCCTCTCTTGTTTTGCACATGGCAATAAAAGTTTATTAACACAAATTAAGTCTCTCCTGATTTGAATAAGTCATATTTTGTTACAACAGTCTCTGGTTCCAGTTTATTCTGGGTGAATGACGTACAGTGGTATGAAAAAGTTCAGGCACCCCTCTGAGGCAGCATAATAATTTACTCCGTCTTCACAGAAAATGATCACAGTGGCGTGCCATTCATTTTCTAATAAAAGCTGAGTACTGGGGTATTTTCCAGACAAACATTTTTAGTGTAGCAATATTAAGTTGTATGAAATTAAATCAGACGTGAAAAATAGGCTGTGCAAAAATTTGGGCACCCTTGTCATTTTTTTGATTTGAATACCTGTAACTACTTAGCACTGATTAACTGGAACACAAAATTGGTTTGGTGAGATCATTAAGCCTTGAACTTCATAGACAGGTGCATCCAATCATGAGAAAAGGTATTTAAGGTGGCCAATTGCAAGTTGTTCTTCTCTTTGACTCTCCTCTGAAGAGTGGCAACATGGGGGCCTCAAAACAACTCTCAAATGACCTGAAAACAAAGATTGTTCAACATTATGGTTTAGGGGAAGGCTACAAAAAGCTATCTCAGAGATTTCAGCTGTCAGTTTCCACTGTGAGGAACATAGTGAGGAAATGGAAGACCACAGGCACAGTTCTTGTTAAGGCCAGAAGTGGCAGGCCAAGAAAAATATCGGAGAGGCAAAGGCGAAGGATGGTGAGAACGGTCAAAGACAACCCACAGACCACCTCCAAAGACCTACAACATCATCTTGCTGCAGATGGTGTCACTGTGCATCGTTCAACAATTCAGCTCACTTTGCACAAGGAGAAGCTGTATGGGAGAGTGATGCGGAAGAAGCCTTTTCTGCACACACGCCACAAACGTCGCTTGAGGTATGCAAAAGCACATTTGGACAAGCCAGCTTCATTTTGGAATAAGGTGCTGTGGACTGATGAAACAAAGATTGAGTTATTTGGTCATAACAAGGGGTGTTAAAGTAAAATTTGGTGGAGGTTCCATCATGCAGTGGGGCTGCGTGGACAGTGCCGGTACTGGGAATCTTGTTAAAGTTGAGGGTCGCATGGATTCCACTCAATAGCAGCAGATTCTTAAGAATAATGTTCAAGAGTCAGTCACAAAGTTGAAGTTACGCCGGGGCTGGATATTTCAACAAGACAACGACCCAAAACACTGCTCAAAATCTACTCAGGCATTCATGCAGAGGAACAAGTACAATGTTCTGGAATGGCCATCCCAGTCCCCAGACCTGAATATCATTGAAAATCTGTGGGATGATTTGAAGCGGGCTGTCCATGCTCGGCAACCATCAAACCTAACTGAACTGGAGATGGTCCAAAATACCTTCATCCAGAATCCAGACACTCATTAGAGGCTATAGGAAGCGTCTAGAGGCTGTTAGTTTTGCAAAAGGAGGCTCGACTGAATATTATGAATATTGATGTGATTTTTCTGTTGGGGTGCCCAAATTTATGCACCTGTCTAATTTTGTTTTAATGCATATTGCACATTTTCTGTTAATCCAATAAACCTCATTTCACTAATGAAATATTGCTGTGTCCATCAGTTATTTGATTGATCAAAATGAAATTGCTGATACAAACACCCAATGATTTATAAATGAAAATAATGGAAATTGTCAGGGGTGCCTAAACTTTTTCATACCACTGTATCCATCTATCTATCTATCTATCTATCTACCTAATGTGCATGTTTTTGGAGTGTGGTACCTGGAGAGAACCCACACAGATACGGGGAGAACATGCAAACTTCACACAGAAAGACCGCAGGCCCGGGAGTTCAAACCCAGGACCTTCTCATTGTGAGGCAACAGTGCTAGCCACTTCTCCACCATGCCGCCCTACTTACAACTTTATTGTGTTATTTCTGAGAAAGAATAGTTTTCTTGTTCGGTAGACTGAACAACTTTTATTTTGCATCATTTTTGTACATGAAAATAACTGAATTGTTCAGCCTAAAGCATCTTATCACATCCAGCTTCTCATGATGCTGCAACGTGTCATCACATATGACTGTCTCAAACATGGCAAGAAGATTATTATGACTAAATCATGCTAAAAATAAAAATCAGTGATATTGGTCAGACAGATGTACTAGAATTCTCCTACATTGTGAACACTGAAGATGAATCCTGCTGCTGTGTTTTTCACCTGAAACAGATCATTTGGTAATGCTTTACACTATACACACAACAGAACTTAAAACATAATTAAACCAAACTAAAAAATGATTTCAAAATAAAAAAATATGATTCACACTGGTCTGAAAAAAGGCTGATCAATCAGATCACACCTGCTCTCAAAGATTTATTGTATTCTATATACTATTCATTATTGTACACTTACTGTGTTAACTACACTGTTCTTTACTAATGCAGAACACTATGAAAGGTCATTCACAATGACATTTAGAGACAACCGGAAAGTACTCGGTCAAAAGGGACCAAATCTGGAAAACATCTTCCTCTTTCGATGAGTCACTACTTACGATGTGGTACTTTCCAACAAACGGTTCAAAACTATATAAATATGGAAGAAGTCCACAGACCATCACAGCTGAGAAAGCAGGTTGATGCATCTGAACTAAAACTTTCATCTGTTACTACACTGTGAGGGGAACACATACAATCAAGGATGGCTGCACCTCGTCTCTCTCTGTCTGTTGTTGTGCTGATGCTGGCTGTCATCACTCTGAGCGAAGGTAAGAGGGAGCATGACAATAATACGTTCAGTCAGTGTGTGACTCATTAATCTCATTAGTCATACATTTGATATGATGGATATGATTCAGTCTGATTTATATTTTGTGGAACTGATCGATGTGTAGTGAAAGAAGTCTAAGTTGTGATTAAAATTCTTGTGAGCCGTAGAAAATAACGATCAACAGGAGTTAGGAGCTCAATGCATGATGGTCTATATTGCTTGGTTAGTGACCATTGGTTGTACACTACTTTTCACAATGTATTGTGAGGTACTAGGAGTCCACTATATAGGGTATAATAATTCTAACTAACCATCTGGACAGCATTACAAAATGGCGAACTCACTATATAGTGGAGTAGGGAGTAGTGAGTGATTTCAGACACAGCCACAGACAGTCATAATAGAAGCTAAACAACAATGCGAAGGTTGTTATGGCCTGAACTCTTGGAGTGTTGGTGAGGTTTAGGAAAACAAGAGGAACACTGGAGAGAGAAAAAATCTCCCTCACATCTGTTATCAAAATGTTCATTTTAGAATGTTAAATGGTTTCCTTTCTTAAATTGAACCAGCCCTTATTTAATCCTGTCAGCAGAGCAACACATGTCAAAGAGTTTCCCATATCACAGTGGAAAAACTGAGCAACACAATCTCTTCTACAAAGAAAACAAAGAAGAACATCAGATGTAGCGTCATGCAGGCAGACAGGAAATTAAAAAAGGGAACAAAAAGAAGGCAGACGCAGATGGTTTATTCACAGCTCTTTGTTTGTAGGTCTGCGTGGTACCGGCCCAAAGAAGTGCTGCTTCCGCTTCAGTGAGAAAGCAGTGCCAAAAGAAAGAGTGGTCAGCTACGTCAGGACCAGCCAGCGGTGCCCACAACCTGCCGTCTTGTGAGTAGAAAGAAAAATACATAACTAACATCACCATCAACATCTGCACATGGAAGCACTGTACCTGACTGTCTTGTTTGTGTGTGTGTGTGTGTTCTATGTGTGTGTGTGTGTGTGTGTGTGTATGTTTCAGGTTGAAGACAGTGGCAGGTCGTCAGATGTGTGCCAAACCTTCAGCCCCCTGGGTGAAGGACCTCATTAGCTACCTGGATGCCAAATACATCCCAGGAGAGACATCTAACCTGTAACCATGGCAATGCCATACCCACTATAAGAGTCTTCCATGAACAAAATCTGGCCAGTTAATGTGTTTTGATGCTGCGACTTTTCACACTTTATCTTTTAAAATTAAGAGGTGTTTTATACAAATACAGTATGTTACTATCTACTTATATTATTCTATTCTAAAATTTGGTAGTATTTTGAGATGCTGGGACAAGATGCATTTGCAAACATACCATGTTAAATTATTTTTCTACCATTCACAAAAAATCTATGTTTAACATAGGTGCACGTTGCCATTCTTTTAATACTGGCATTTAAACCATATTTTTATTTTATAATCTGGAACAATAGGAATATTTTTGTTTCATACAACACTCAAAGTCTGACCATCAGCACTGTGAAATATTGTTGCATTGTCATTTGAACTGAGTAAGACCAATGTCTCCCAGCTCCACTTGGTGTCATAAGTAGAGTATAAGCTATGGGCTAAACCACTATTTCTATAACGAACCACTGTGAGCTCTTTGCCTTGTTTTTTTTTTTATATAAAGTAATGATTTTTTGTTGTTTTTCTACTTTAAACTCAAGTTACTTGTACAGATAAGTAACCCAGTTTGACAAAAAATTATTTATTTCTGTATGCTTATGCTACAAGTCTGATTCTGTTGAATTAAAGCAAGACAAAGTGAAAATTTACTGCTCTCTCTCTTCTTGCCTGGTGTCTAGATTCAACATATATTGGTATTTATTCAATAATTTACAAGTATTAATTCCCCATTTAATGTCACAGCAGAAATCTAAGATGGAGACGTTCATATAGAGAGTAGTGTCAGATGCTACAATAATCAAATTCTTTTCAAGACCAAGGTCTTTTAGTAGATGTTAATGTGCAAGACTGTCTGATAACACTGTGCAGCATTTGACACACATGAGCTGCAAACACTCACAACACAACAGAAGTGTTTCCAGTGATGAACCTGGCTGGGACACAGTTGCTGTTCTATGCCTTATGACTTTGAACAGGTAATAGGAGGAGCACTTCCAATACACTGAGCCCCGCCTCAATTACAGCAAATAAACTACTTTCATTACATGTACTATTATTGCAAAAGGAGGTAGAGGAATAACTAAACATAGACACACAGAGCAGACAGAGCAGGAGAGAGGGAGGGAGAGAGAGAAGTCATCGGTAACAAGTCTTCATACTTACCGCTATGACCAACTCTGCATATCAAACAGAGGGAGTTAGACATAAAGACCTGCCTCTGATAAAAGTCTCTTGTGTTCTGGAGTTGACTAAACTATTGTGGATCCAGATGGAAGCTGTGCTCTGAGTGAGAGACTAAATGAGAAACATAGTCTGTCTCGGGTCCCGTTGGTTCACCATTTGGGTTTTGTCCTTGTCTGGTCTGTGGCCCTTTGCTGCCTGTTTCTCTCTCACCAATATTTCCGTGTCTCTCTCACTATGACTGAAATAAAGGCAAAAGTATCTTCCAACAGTTATAAAATCAGGATTTGACCATAGGAGTCCAGATTTTGACCTAGTCTTGTGTATTTATAGGGCATTATATACCTATATACATACTAATAGTGACAGAGAGAGAGAGAGAGAGAGAGAGAGAGAGAGAGGAGATGATATGCAGTGCAGCCCGGCCGCAGCAGTTAGGACTATGTCTTCATTGTATGCACAAAAGGCTGGCTGCTAACAAGCGTCTAAATGAGATTACAGAGGTTGTCAGGGACGTTAAAAATTATGTCTGGGGCAAACAAACAAAACACAAACAAATTCAGGCAAAGTATGAAACTGAAAATACAAACACAATATGAAATAAGATCATTTGCAGGTTGACAGATAAGTATCAAATAAAAACATATGTTGGTATATGAAATTAAATGTATGCGTCTATTCTTCCTTTTCAGATTTTCAAATAACTTACATGTAAATAAAAAGAGAAGTCCAAATCAGATACATTTTTTTGATTGAATTTTTCTCTTATTTTACTAAGGTAAGTATAACGGCAACAAGGTCATCCTCACGGTGGTCGACCGTTTCAGCAAGATGGCCCACTCTGTGCCCCTGCCCAAGTTGCCGTCAGCTAAAGAGACGGCCCAGCTGGTCCTGCTCCACATCTTCCGCCTGCATGGTCTCCCTGTCGATGTGGTGTCTGACCGGGGGCCCCAGTTCTCCTCGGTTTTTTGGAGGGAGTTTTGTAGCCTGATAGGAGCCACTGCCAGTCTCTCCTCCGGGTTCCACCCCCAGTCTAACGGGTAGACTGAGCGGAAGAACCAGGAGATGGAGACGGCCCTTCGCTGCACGGTCTCCCGGAATCCGTCCCCCTGGTTGCAGCAGCTCCTATGGGTGGAATACGCCCACAACTCCCTCACCAGCTCCGCCACAGGCCTCTCGCCCTTCCAGGGTGCCTACGGCTACCAGTCCCCGCTCTTCCCGGCCTTGGAGAAGGAAGTTTCCTGTCCCTCTGTCCAAGCCTTCATCCGTCGCTGTCGCCGAACCTGGGTCCAGGCACACACTGCCCTCGAGCGCTCTGTGAATCGCTACACTGCCTCGACCAACCGGCGACGATCTCCTGCTCCAGTGTACCAGGTCGGCCAGAAGGTGTGGCTCTCCACCCGGGACCTACCCCTCCGGGTGGAATCTAAGAAACTGGCTCCCAGGTTCATCAGCCCATTCCCCATCCAGAGGGTCATCAGTCCAACAGCGGTGAGACTGAGGCTTCCGTGCACCATGTGTGTGACGGAGGCTTAAGTCGTGTCCAAAGTGAAGCTGGTCCACGAAAGCCCTCTGTCGCAGGCGGCCCCACCTCCTCCTCCTCCTCGCCACATCGATGAGGGACCAGTTTTTTCAGTTCTGCGCCTGGTCC